TACCAGTGCAAGGCGGAAAAAGTATAAAGGGCTTTTGGGCCCACGTGTATGAGATGCAGTGGCTGTAGTGAGAGGCTTGAAATATTATGTGGACTTTCTGTCTGCAAGAGGCATTTATGCTATTTTAGCTGTTTACATTAGGATGAGATGAACTTCACCTTGACATGCCTGTTGCTCTCCTCAGCTAAGAGAGGCCAAGTAACTTTCTCTCACTTAGTTTACACTGTAGACATGCACGATTAGGTAACCAAGCTACCTCTTAATATCCTCTTGGAGAGAATTACCTACCAAAGACCACTCAGTTCTAGACTCAAATCCTTATTATTCCCCTCTTCTGCACACTCTGTAATCTGCAGTTTGCAATCCCTTGTCAAAAACAGGCACAAGATCAGGGTATGAAATATTTCATTCACAGACATCATAACCTCTCAACTCCTACTGATTTAGTTATCTGAAAAAAAAACCTGCCCAATCAACCAACCAACCAACCAACCAAAATCAGACAACTGCCAAGCCAGCACAAATAAAAAAGGGTGGAGCAGTACAGTGGGATGAAAGGATATGTGTTCTTATTTCAGAGCATCCTTGACATTGCAGCGAACACATCGAACATGTAGGAACACAAACCACGGCTTGGCATATTGACTGTCTCTAACTATTTTCTCTAGAACTTAATTTCTTAGATGAAAACGAATCTCCTGCACTCCCTGTAAAACCACCTCAAGAAAACATAGGATCTGGCCCAAAATTTCTTTAGTACTATTATATGATGTGATTTCACATGGAAACACTTCCTCTATTTGCATGCCATGTTAAACATTATATTTACGAGCAGCTGGTGGCTCTCAAATCAGAACATGTGTTTACTTTAAGAGTGGTAATCTCTTAAGGGTAGTTTGCCATTATACATTTATGGCCTCTTAGGTAACTATTGAAGGATCAAATGAACTAACAAGGTGGAAAAATATCTATCTTACATTGCAAAAAGGTAAAAATGGAAGTCATGGAAGTATGGCTTCAAAACTGATGAATAAATAAATAGGATAGGATATGATGTTTGTTGATTTTTTTACAGGAATAACTATAACAGACCCGCTTCTGCAGTCTTGACTGGAGGAATGCATTTTCTTAGGATGATTTTGTTCAATGTTAACAGCTTCAGACACAGTTTCAACTGCCCAAAGGGTTTGCCTTTTTAACTGAGCAAGTGCTAAAACCAAACAAAAATCTCACACCCTGTGTATAGTAGGCTTATTAATACTGATTTTGCACTGTGAAATTCTGAAAATCAAGCCACATTCCTTTGTCATTTTTAATTATAGCAGTAATAAGGATTTTGCAAGCCCAACTGGCCACTCCTACAATTTCTCATTTCTATTCTTGTTATCCCTTTCATGACATTAATACAATCCTTCACTCTCCAGGGAAGTTATACCTGTGGAATTACTTCAAATTTAATAGCAGGTTTCCATAGACATATAAACTCATCCAGTTTGCATCTCCCTATGGCTTCTGCTATTGAGCAATGAGAATAAAAATCAATCAATTATGCAGGATGGTTTTTTTGGTGTTCAATTTGTTCATACTTGGTCCTTAATTTAAAGTGGTAGGCAAAAGTTCATCTTCTCTTGCTAACAGATTTTTATCATGAATGTGAGAAAAAGTACTTGATAAAAAGGGTAAAACACCTTATCAAAAACAACAAAAAGAAGGTAGCATAAGCTACCAATTCATTTTATCTTACTTTTTGACTACCTTTAAGCTTGCCTATGGGGACTGTGTATAGGAAATGAGTTCAGAACCAATTATACCTTGGCTTCTATCACAGCATCCCAGTATAAGATTTTAAAGGCAATACCCCTGTGGTAATACCTGCATATTCAAAATTGAACCCATTGAAACAATTTATTTCAGAAAAGATTCTGGATAAAGGAAAATGGTAAGGACTACTGATCAGTGTTGGAATGGTTTGATCTAGAAGTTGAAAGCCTTCACCTCCATAAGTGCTAACTGCGATCTTCATTTTAGAAGACATGTTAAATCGGGTGCTCACCCTGCTTGCTTGGTAAAACACTGTTCCTGGAGGAAAGGAAAAAAGCAGAAGACGGCAGTGGAAAAGGAACAAGCAGCCTTTTTTCTATGCCTTTTTGTAAAACTTTTAGCACTATAATGTTTCACAGAATGTATCATGTCACTGAAATGTACCAGCCTTCCCTTGAGTTCATCATCACACAAGAACAAGGGCAGTGTCTATGCATCACTTATATCTTACTGCAGCCATGTTTAGTTTGTGATGAGTTTTCAGAAATAGTTTTTGCCAGTAAGGCTGTTTCTATTGGATATCAAGAACGTCAAAGTAGCTTTTAATCACAGTCCCTTTATCTTAACTCCAAAGCAGTCTCTCTTTTGTTCTATTACCCTCTACTGCTCTTAACCTCTGCCCATTTCCAAATTCCAGTAACTAGAACAATGTTGTAAAACATGATTTTACCTCCCGTGATGGCCTACTTACTCCCAAAGGAAAAATATCATAGAATCATAGAATAGTTTGGGTTGGAAAGGACATTCAAAGGTCATCTAATCCAAACCTCCTGTAATGAGCAGAGAATCTTTAACTAGATCGGGTTGCCTAGAACCACATCCAGCCTCACCTTGAAAGTATATAATCAAGAAATGGAATTATAATTAAATTCTGAATCATTTTACATAGATACAGCAGGCTACATTACCACAAAGATACACATGTAAGCTGTACAAACAACCAGCCATTGGAGTAATCTCTTCAGAGAAGTGGTGGACACCCCAGTGTTGGGTGTCCTAGCTGGGACACCCAACCAGATTGCTGGGACATCTAGTCTAGGTCATGCTTGCCAAGAAAGGTTGGACCAGATGATCCTTGATGTCCTTTCCAACCAAGTAATCTATGAAGTTTAAGAAGTACCTTAGGCATGCTTTACTGATGCACATAGAGATGTATTTGAGAACCCTTCTCACGCTTCTTCTGTATCATATGCCTACATAGTAACCTCCTGCAATAGTGACAAGCAGTGGTACTTAGACCTGACAAACTTCCCTCACTGAACCTTTGACACGCAACTGTCTTCCATTGTGGATCCTTTCAACAACTCAGATCTCATACACTTGTTACAGGGTTGCACTGTGGTATCCCTTACCCTTGGCAGAAAGCTACAGAGCAGAGCTGTGAGGACCAAGAACCATGAATTAAACTCATGGCACGATACTGCTGCTGCAAGCATGCCATCAAGTGGGACTACTCCTTGAAGAGCCTGTATAACAACTAGATTCAGCAACAGACCTATATTCAGGTGAAATATATAACTACTGGAATATATAACTAATATCTAGGAAAGTTGCAGAGAAGGGGGCAAAGTGAACTCCCTTAGGCAAAAACCTTCTGGTAACTCTCCTATCTGATGTATGAGAACACACACAACCCCAAGCCACCAAAGCACTAACCCTTGTCATAATAAACCCTTAAAAGGTCACACTGGCGAATAAACAGGGAATTAATATTGGAAATCCGTCCTTCAATCAGCTGTAGTAAGTCCTGTTCAGTAATTAAGATGTTAAAGCTAACAAGACTAGAAAGCATAATAATAGCAATAAGGTAATGCATTTGGCTTCCTTCCAGACCATTATGCCTTCTCTTCAGGCAAGCCCAATTTATACAGCTTCAGTCCAGAAGAAAACATCCTTATAAGTATCAAGCTTGATCTCATATAATAAGCCCTGCTAGGAGGTGAAGCATATCATTCCACACCAACACAGATCAAAGCTGGCCTGACTAAGCCTGTTTGGAGAACAAAGGAGCCACAGCCTACTGAGACACCAAGCCATGCCACCACCACCATGTCACCAAGCCGTCCCACCAACACCAGGACACCAAGCTGTCTTGAACTGTTGAAGCCAGTTGTTTCTGAGAGCTTTGGCACTAACTACAACTTTTATGATGGGGGTTAAGGACTTCAGAAAGCCTGACACAGAAGTTGTTAATTCTCCTGTCTTCAGAAGCTTTCAAAGATTTCCAGCAAACCGCAATCCAAACACAAGCTCAAATGGCCATAAACATATAAGAAAAGATTAATTTACTGCTTAACTATAGCCTGCTCTGAGATAAAGCACACTAACCTCATCTCATTTTTAAACAGACTTGCTATTGTTTTTCTGCTTAACTGGCACTAAAAGAAAATATGTTTTACTGTGCGACCTAAAGGCAGATCCTATTCAGCACAGTTAAATATTTATTGTTTTCATCTACATGTTACACACAAAATGCCTGATCTTAAGGCACAGCAATAAGGGTGCAAAGGTCTAAAAAGCTGGCTCCTTTTGTATCTTACAATGTCAAAAGGTATCTTTTCCTATCCTGGCAACATCAAACACACACAAGGACATTTCCACGTCATCGTACTAATTGTGGGCTACATATCACATGAAAATCAATCCTGCACTAATTTCTAGTGTGAAAATTTTCAATGCTCACACAGAAAACCCCAGTTTTAGTCAAGATTTTCCTCTAAATAACGCAGGTTTCAGACACAGAGTTCTAATTACCCCTGGGCTATTTATGAATTGCAAAAGAAAAGATGGAAACAGGTTAATTTCCAAGATTGTAAGGAAAAGTTTCTTTATGGAGAAGAATGTGAAAAAAGTTTTGTAGGAGTACTTTTTACATCATTTCTTCAACGTTAATATGTTTACCCAGGTTTTTAACTATCAAGGAAGACTGAGAAGGCAGACACCTTATAATATCTGAGCCAGCTTATTTAGCTCCTGTTGCATAAACTACCAGAACTGGCATGGTCAATCTATCTCCCAAGGAGCTGGCAACAGGTTCACTTGCGATTCCAAAAGTCTGGGATGCAAGGCTGAGTTCCTTAAATCTCAGAAATGTCTCGCTTACTTAAAGCTCCACTCTTTTTCTTTGGGGTTTTTCACTTTGGTTGGGTCACAGGTCTTAAGAGTCCTAGATGACTGACCTCTTCCAGTTGGCAAGCTTTGATGACACTCTTGTATCGGTATTCATCATAGGATACACCAAAAATTATGTTTTCTTTTATTGTTCCAGGCATGATCCAGGAGACTTGAGGCGAAAAAGATATCCTTCCACTGTGTTTGATTTTACCCTGTGAAGGCTCCAATTCTCCCATTATCAGCATCAGAAGAGAAGTCTGAAAATTCATTAACACTTGGTTAATAGATCTGTACAACCAGAAGAAATGTTAAACAAAGCGAGAATCACTCTTGCTAAGTTACTTAAATGGTACATTTGTCTTGTAGATAGTGTCCCTGTAGGTACTTATGTAGTGCAGGCTGCAATTAGTGGGGATTTTCATGATATGTATGGTTCTGAAAGGCCTCTGAAGTGAGAGAAACTTCATTCAGTGAACAATAACAATTGTGTAATATCTTGAAAAAAAGGCATGCTGCTGCAAAAGTATATATTATTATATGCAATGATATATTTTTATTAACCTTCTAGTAATTTTACAAGGTAAAAATGTGAGACATATACAGACATAAGTTATTAGTATTTATGGAGAATATTATTTGATTTTTAATGTTATGAGTAGCTATTTTGTTTGTTCTTTGTACAAGATAATTAACGTTTACAATTTTACTAGTGTTCATAAGCCTTTTATCTGCATTGCCTTGAAAAATAAAATTTCTTCATATATGTCTATGCAATTACTCACAAACTACTCAGTGTGATCTGAATTTTCCTCTGTATCTTTTAACTCATTTACGTGAATACATGACCTAAGTGTATTTACTATTTCCCTTCATAAAAGAATTGATTGCAATTTCAGTACTGACATGTTACAATTTCAAAGTTAATCAGTAGCTTGTAGTAACCTTGTCACACATAACTGGCTACTGGATCAAAGAATAGAATTGAGAAATACAAGGAAAAATATGTTACAGAGCCATTACAGTGGTGTTCTTATCACTAATAAACAGTCAGCAAAGCTGGGACGTAACAGCCAAAGATCTAAATATCTGTCTAAGTCACAGTTTAATGCTGTCAAGCCCAAGGATCCTTTGACAAGTTATGCAATATGCAGGGAGAGCCTCACAAGATTCTTTCCATTCATATCAGAATCTAACTTTTCCAAAATGCTGAGTAAGAAGTTTCTGATCTTGCAAAGGACAGACACTTAGTGTTAAACTACTGTATCTGATGCCATATAGCATAGATGGAAAAAAAAAAAAACAAAACTAAACAAAACCACCAAACCCAACCCTATCTGATACTGAAGCAGTATTAAAGAACTGATGTCAGGCTTCACACCTGTTACAGATAAAGTAAGTGTGCAGTCTGTTTCATAAGCCTGACAGTTCCTGGAATATACAGTAACAGCCTTAAGCAACATGAAGGAAGCCATAAACTAAGAGGATGCATGGAAAGGAGGATTTTATTTATTTTTGGGGTGGGGGGATCCAGCTTGGGGTTTTTAAAAATCTTTCAGATAATATTACAAGTCTTCTGTCGTTATTGCATTGAAAAGTGCAAATCTGTTGTATGCATATACTCAAACTGCTCACTGTAACCTGATTTTTCCTCAGTTTCCTAAGTAGCTGAATAAAGGAGATATACGTATGTCCTTCAGCACTTTCTAGTTGATATTTTTGTATTACAAGTATCACCTTTAGCAACAAGGCAAAACTGATTTTTGGTGATATCTTAGCAAAATATCAGCAACATAGCAAAATTAGTCTGTAAATTTAGAAGTATCACAGTAAAATGCACCACAACATGTTGGCTTGATGGTAACCTCATGTGCTGTGCCCTTTGCTCTTTCCTACTGGTATCATCACTGAAAAACAATATAGAAGCTTTGATCATACTATATTGAAATTGATGGGTCCTTTACCATTGACTACAACAGAAGAAATATTTTACTCCATGCAAGGAAATCAGAATATGTTCACCAATAATTTGTTCAACCCAAAAAGTTGCCAAACACATAATGAATGTTTGTTTTGACTTTCACATCTTCTCAGAAAATGCAGTGAAGATGACAGATACATCTAATTACTTGCTTTTTGAAGTTAATAAGAGTATCACAGTTCAACTCATTTTATATTAATGAGGTTAATCAGATGTGTTATCTGCAAACTAAATATATTGCTAAAATTATCTGCAAACTCAACGTATTGCTAACATTTGGGGATTCTAAAGGGACGACTAATCTAAACCACAACTTTTCCTAGAAAACCACAGTTTCCACAGCACCTCCCCCAGGCTTCGCATGGGACTCGGGGAGCCTGTCAGAGTGAAACACTGTGCGAATATACTTTTTATACTTTTTCCTACAGCCACCATGTTTACAGTGAGCAGAAGACAGCAAGAATACAGTACCGATACAGGTATCATTACAGCTAACAACACAGTATCATTTCTTGAAATTATTAGGATTTTGTTGAAAAAAACCCAGAAATAGAAATACCTTGCCTGCTCCAGTAGATCCAGAAACAGCTAATAACTGTCCCTTCTCAATCTTGAAATTTATATCCTGAAGAACAGGGGATGCATGAAGTGGAAAATTACTGAAGAAGAGATTGCTGTCAGTGCTAGAATTGCTGTTGTTTTCCTGGCTTGCTTTTAAAAACAGTTCTCCAATTCCCTGCAACATACACAGATGTGTATTTGTATTTACGTAAAAATAAAGCATATGCAGACATGTATATCATACTACATACTTAGGAAAACATATGAACTTACTTTTCTGATGTTACTTTGCCTATCTATACCATATTTATTATATTCTTAAATATACATATATATTCATGAACTTGCTCCTAAATCTGTGGACACAAACAGAATTTGCCTCTTATAGAACTAGTTTCCAATGTTTACACATGCCACAGCCTGATTCTGTTTTCAGGCTGGTTTAAATCAGAAATAACTACTTATTATAGACCTTAACACTTATTAAAAGGTCTCTTACAAAGTTTCTCAATCACAGATAATTTGATATTATACATTCATTACTTGCCATATATTCCTTGCCTGCTGATAGCTGAATCTAAGGTGAAGTTAAAATGAAGGAGCATAGGCTGCCTATTTTAGAGAACACCATGGCAAATATCAGTGAAAAAAAATACATTCTGTGTTTTTATTTAGTTTGGGTAAAAGTACTAACCTCATCCCAAAAAGCTGTTACTTTGTCCAGCTCAACACCAGTGGTGGTTAGATTATACTCCAGGGCTTTATATTCCTTTTTCAGCAAGAAATCCTAGAAACACCATGAAAGCAGATGAGAGGAAGCAGTAAGAAAGGATGGCCATATAACACAAAGGAGTACATACTTGCCAACACTGAGCACAAAGGTTTCTTACAGTGCTAGTGCATTGTCCTGTCTTAGAGGGAGGCATAAATATAGCTCATCAACATCTTTTGGATGCAGAAGGAAACGCTTTTGAAGCTACCAATTCTTTCACTGCTAGTGAAAACATAACCATAAAGATATTCAGTTCTGATTTATAAAGAATATCAAAATTTGGCATTTCCTTTGCTTTCAGGACTTGTATCAGGCAACATCACCTCCTCTGACCTTAATTGCTTTCAAATAAAGCTTTTGTTTTGGAGTAGGATGTGGAAGGTTGCACACTGGTATCTTCCTATTCCAAAACTGCAAGACTTTAAAAGTGTTACAATGATGTCTCTACCAACAAAACAAAAATGGCAGATAATGATCCCAGCCAGTACAGCACTGAAGTAGTGTAATTTCAAATAGCACAAGTCAGCAACTTGACACTTGTGTTACCATCGGGGATGATGACAAAATACCTCCATTAATGCCTAGGGAATCTGAGAGCAAATGGACTGCCTACACTGGGACTCAATAACGCCTTCTAATGTTGAACAGAAAAGTTTATGATTTGACTTCTCAAACCTTCTGCCAGCTGAAAATCATAAAAATCCAATACCTGCCTCTTATTCTATACTAGCATCTCTGATTAGGATCTTTAAATTCCATAGTAGATATTTTTATTAAGCTAAAAAAAAAAAATAAATTGTATGTTTTAAAAAGAAAAAAAATCTATTTGCAAATATATAAAAAAAGCCCAAATTTCATCCTGAAAATTGAATAAAAATTCTTTTTCCTGAGGCGTGATTTCAAAACAGCAGATAAAATAGTGTTAATGAGAATTCATCTTGATTTGACTCTGTAAATAAGCCTCTCATCCTGGTATATGAGCAATTCATCTCAGTAGACAAGGTAGTTAATAATTATTTGACTGGTACCTTAATTATGTTTACTACTCATAATAAATGAGATGCGTATTTGCATAAGATGCACAATTTCCTGCTGTTCTTGCAACTAATAGCTAGGAAAACAGCAGATCTGTGACTGCAACTACTAGAAGCTGTGCTATATAAAACATTTCCTAATTTTGTACTTCCTCTTCTGAAGGAAAAACATCTCTTAAGAACCACAACTCATGAAATATCTTTTATTAAGTTCCTTGTTCTGCAATGAGAAGAAATAAGTAAATGCCACCGTTTCAAAAAAGGCAGCATGCAGGTAGCATGGGAGTCCTGTGGTTATGCTGCCTGGGGAACCATATAACAATATCAAGATTTATAATGACATTTCATGGTATGTAGTCAAAGCAACACATAGTATATTTGGAAAGTCTGCATAAATGCTGTGCTCTTTTGTTGATCGATTGACAAGATAACGTGCTATGAAGAATGAGCTTACGTACTTGGGAAGATTTTAGTGCATATAACCTACCTGTATTTTGTTTATTGCTCCAATAGAGTCATACCAGGTCTGCACAGACCCAGGAAACTGCCTGGTCACTGTCATTCGAAGAACAATGCAGAAGGAAATGGTGGTAAATATTTTTCGGAGAATAATTCCTTTAATCACAGCATATGGAAGCACAGCTAAAAACACCACAAAAAAGCCTGAAAAGAAGAAGGCTGAGCTGTTCAAATATCTCACATAAGCAGCTTTTCGGGTGAGCTTCAGTTCAGTTCTGTTAAAAAAAAACAAATACAAATAATTAGTACAGGATTCCACAGTTAACATCTTACAAATATTTTGGATGCACCTGGTGGTAAACAATTAACTCAAAAGCTCGTTCATTCTTCTTATTTTCTAGCATTGCAGTTAAAAAGCAAGATTCCAAACAATTTTGGACCTAAACAATAATTAGGCACCAATGTTCAGAGATGTCAAACAAAATAACAATAATTTATGTTATAATTTGGATACCTCATAAACCACAAGCCTCTACAATTCCTAGCACAATCATCCTTAAGCATCTAATGCTGTGGTATCTGATACACCCCCAGAAACATCATCCCATATTCATCCAGTCATGTAGCTATGCAATTCCCCTGGAAGTAACATACTTTGAGATGCCAGATTTGCTATACAAGACCATAAAAAAAACTAAGAACAATCCACAGTCTGATTATAATGGCTTTTTGCAGACCACCCTACTAACAGCTTCACCCATGAAGTAAGGTATCACTTGACCTCAGCCTGAAGAGGTGGAAAGCAGCGAGTCTGCTCTCCACCTTCCTTTTTCTGTAGAAGCTCAGTCTTCAGAGTAGCTTACTGACTGCTGTAGAGACGGGAATGCAACTGGTGATTATCTGGACTGCTTCCAAAATGTCTATGTATCTTACTGCAAGATATTAAATAAAATGAGAACTAATCCAGGAGAGTAATTCATTTTCTGAGCTGATAGCCCTGCCTCACAGTGCTGAAGCTTTCCATCAACTGCTGCCCTGTTCACATTCCCCAGGTGCCTCACAACACAGCTTTGCCTGAACAAAAGCACCACTGCCACAGTGAAAGAGCAATTGCTCTACTGCAAAGAGCAATTAACTGGGGCTAGAGACGCAGCTAGACCTCAAGGTGCCCATTCACTGGGTGAGTGCTCTAGCCACTGGGTTCACAGTCACGCTGGTTCTGGTAACACCTGCTGATGCAAAGTTGAGCACCATAACCTCTATGTGCCTTCTGGTGCTGAACCAGTTTCTGCATGCAAAGTCCATCCAGGATTCTGGAGCTGTGAGGAACCCTCTTTCAGCCCCACACTATGCATGCATGAGACTTCCACATGCATCTAACACCTTACAAACTTTTGTCAGCCAAAGCGTCCCTAAAACTCGCTGACAGAAAATCTGAGCTCAGCTCAGCCAGTTTTGGAGCAGAGTGCCTAGCACTACTTGTTAAGTCTTTATTTCACAAGAGAGGCCTGAAGAAAGTAGACAGGCATGCAGGTCACCACCACAGCAGTAGCCACTGCACTGGAGAAAGGGCCTTGTAAGCCCCTCCAGAGCTTGTATGAGAGTGTGGGTGGCAGCGCTGAACAAGGATAACAGATATTTTTGCACTTGATTCTTGTCCAGTCCCACACAAATGCCTGGGTAGAAGCTATCAAAAAGACCCCCAGTGCTGAAGCACTCAGCTGGCACTCCAAAGAGGGAGAATCAAAGCACTAACCCTTTTCAGTATGCTCTCAAGCACCAGCCACAAGCTGACTGGCGCACAAAAGTTTTCCATGGGTTGATCTGTCTGTGATGTAGGCTTGAGAGCTCTGTAAATTAGGCATGAATTTGGGACAGGTCTTGCTGATGCAACACACGCATTTGGAGAAAAACGGAAGGGACACTATGAGCCTTGTGCATGTATAGAGCACAGTCCAGCATATGCCTGTTTTATAGGTGATGCTGTAGAAATCACTTCAAATACATGAGTTTGAGATTATTTGTTTTACATAAAGTTGTATCTTCTGCTGACAAAGTATGACACTTCCAGCCTTGGACTTCACCTTCTCCAGTGCTATGCTTATGGTTCAGGGGAAGAGTTAGGTGTGATTTTTTACTTCTCTGAATACCTTGTATAGCCAATAGAAGTGCAGGTATGTATATTCAGACACCAGTTACAAACAGTTATTATCAGTATAGACTTAAGAGGACACACAGGAGACAGCCTATATTGGTGCCTCTGAAGTGTCACAGTTCCACAGGGGAGTTAACCTGCAGCAGGGTTACACTTGCAGGATGGCCAGCTCCATCTGGTAGCTCAGGTCTACCCAAGTAAAGGGCACAGGTTTGTTGCATCAGAAAATGGCATCATGCAGAAGCAGTTTGGTAATGACTAAGTTATAATGCATTGCTGCTAAAATGCAATCATGGCTTCAAGCACAAGGCCTCATTTCCTACCAGATTAACAAGGCAACTGACTGGGAGACCCTGCAAAGCTAGCTCAGCAAGCAGACTTCGGCTGAAACTCTTGACATTCCTGGGTTGATCTGCTCTGGTGATGTCTTCACCAAGTGACCTGCTGGATCACTCAAAAAACTACAGTATTTTGGTGCAGAGAAGTAGAAAAGAGATACTTTGACCTTGTAATACTGCTAGCATCCCTAACTTTTAAAAATTCATGTAGAAAATAATAAAAACTGAATTCCAGCATTACAAAATGTGCTACAGATTACTGCAGAATATACAGATCATATAATAACAGTCCTTTTTGCAGGTTCCCTTAACCACTTTGTGGACTATAATTTTAAAATTGATTTCAACAGGATTTGTTCACAAGATGTGGTCCCAAATTTCCTAAAAGCAATGCACGTGACTAAGTGACACCGAGCGAATCCTAACCCAGTCCCATCTTCGAGCCAGAATTCCCAGCATGGATTCAGACTGAGTTTTCTCTGATCATTAAATCATTACAAATTTTAAGATCTTCCTTATTCTAAAGGTAAAGAACATCACTTTCCCTGGACTGTCTTTCAGAAAGCAGCTGAACAAGAAGGTGTTTGTGTAAAAATATAATTTCCTCTCTTTTATTTACATGATAATATGAGCCTTGTATTTCTTTTATTTTCTTTTATTTTCCCAATCACACAACTGGCACAGAATTTTAATTCTCTGTAAAGGACTAAACAAACACACAGGACAGCTTTAGTGAAGCATCATACATCAATCAATGTGTCACCTCTCCTCCCTTCCCCCAGGACTCCTCATAGCTCTCAGCTAACTAGGTTAGCTCCTTTACTTCCTTTCTGTTTCGGGTCTGGTAGTTCCAGTTCAACCTTGGTATTAATTGAGGAGATAAGCATTATACAAGGCTATCTACTGACAATAACAGCTAATGCAAATGTGCAGGATCAATAGATGAATCTGCACTGCTTTAATCCTCTCACAGGTTGCATGCACCATTTAAAACCAGCTTTATTGCATTTCTCAGAAAACTGGCTGCAGAGGACTCATACTGTTTCCTTCACCGCAGAATAGGAAGGTCTGTAAAGCCTTAGGTAACCACCACAAAAGGTCTTTTTATTGTAAGATGAAGCTGGGGTTGGCCAGAAACAAACACAGATGCCACAATTGTTTTACGTCCGCAAACTAATCATTGAAATATCATTATAACAAACGAGGAAGTAAACAAAACAAAAAAAAATAATAAAAATCTCACCTCCATAGTGAGCTTGATGAATTGTGAAAAAAACCCAGGCTGCAGTGTGGGAATTCACAGTTAGCTTATGGAGGATTAATGTTTGTGTGCTTTCCTTCTTAACTAACAAGACCACAGATGATGTTAATAGCCACCTTTTATTTTTTTCCAAGCACATAAAAAATTTGACTAACAAATGAGAACACTTACTCACGGATACTTTCAATCATTTTTTCCATTGCATCTTCCCAACAATAGGCTTTAACTGATTGTATGTTTTCAATTATTTCTGAGGTGATGACAAGTCTCTCATTGATCTTTCCTGCTCTCTTATTCCTACAATGTAAAAAGGCAGTACGTTAATCTTCATCTTTTTCATGCTGTATACTTAGTTCATATCCCATTATATCTTACGGAAACACTTTCCCTATATGCCTATGCTTAAAATGTTCATTTTAACAGAATTATTATGAAGAATGTGAAAGGAATTATCAGAAATCTAGTAATTGTTTTACTAAGGAGAAAACAAAAGCTCTAAAAAGAATAAATCAAATCACTAACAAGGAGTTTTAATTCTACAAAGCATTATCACTGTTTATTACATGTTAGACCTTTCATTTTGCTAAGTTTAGACAACTACAGCTAAATAAGTAACTGCTTGTCCATGACTTTCCCGACACAGCAAACATTCTTTGGACTCCTCTTTTGTAACAATGGCATACCTAGAGACTTAATCAAGTGGTATAAACTTCTTAAACCAATGTGGTTCAGAAAAATATACTGAAATATTTTAAAACAGTCTTGTCACCTGTATTTCATCATCATTTGTCCCAGCCAGGCTTGGAAAAAGGCCACGACTATTAGAAAAGCAAGTCCAGAAAATGCAGAAGCTTCTAACATATCCCAGAGCAGTCCCATCAGCAGTGCCACTTGTAAAGGTGCAATCCATACAAAATGAGCTAGAGCAAGACCCTGTGGAAGCCCACAGCAGAAAATAATAACAATACAAGTTACAGATGTGCCCTCAAAACTAGATGAAAAGGAAGAAGTCATTAAGGTGACACTTAAAAAAATGTAACAAAGTATGGTACAAATATTTCCAGTAGTAAAACAAGTTTATAAAGGAAGATTTGTGATCCTGAGCACATAGCATTCTGGGTGTTAATTATGATGACAGTGCAGCAATACATACACATGCCACACCTAAACTTTGATTTTTGTAAGGCAAAGTTCAGTCTGCAATTGTCTCTGAGCTATGCATATGCACAAGGAAAAATCCCAGCTTTGTAAAAGTAAACAGAATTTGCCATCGATGCCGCCTTTTTCAACCACTGAACGATGAGAAAAATACACAGAAGAATCTTCTGAGAGTTATTTCATCTGACATAGGAGGTGAATATTACTTTGGAGAAGTGATGACTGTCATGTGAACACAACTAATCCAAAATAGATTGCTGCCCACTTCAGTCATATTCCTTCACACTGGGGAGATTTTGGACTGAATCCTGTGATCAGGCTGCAGAGGCGTCCGTGTTACTGCAGCTACACTGCTGTCCTAGCTTGTTCAGTGCTAGCTGACATTGCTCTATATAGGAATATGATGCGTAAAGTAAATGCACCCTGCATTTTCAGCCATGAGTCTACAGTCTCTCTGATCTTGATTCTTTTAATAGGAAGCAAACCTTGTACTACCAATGGGCCAATCAAACCCACATGCCGAACGAGACAGAGTTTCCAGTTCCAAAAGCCATTAGCCAGGATCTACCTCTGTGTCTTTTAACAAAAGAGAACTTCTACAGGAAACTCTTGGAGTATTGTCGAACATGGATGTGTTGGGAATGATTCCTAATAAGATCTTACATCAACGGTTAATCACTTTTAGAAGAGTGAGTAATAGTAGCAACAGGATGCTGAACATCATCACTTGTTCAACAGCAGGAATGGACTGGATCACCTTAGTAAAAAGGCACAGTCATCAAGAAAAGAGAATGGAAGGATTGAACCAGCAAGTGATGACCTCTATGAAATCAAATGCATAACCAAGAGTTTCCCTGTGAGGTTCCCACTAGACTGTAGAACAAGCATTTTTTTAAGGTATATCTGTTTTTTAGGTTTCCTCTACTAATCAGCATAGGAGGTAAAGGACATCGTAAGTATGAGAACGAGCACTTCCAGGACCACATGCCAACATATTTTTTTAAGGTTAAGGTAGTGATTCATTTTATATCTACAATAAGTACTCAGTGCAGTTTGTCATTTATGCTCCTTCCTTCCTTAATATTTGCCATGAACAACTTGAAGTATTGAATTTGTATTTATTTGATGGCTCATCAAGCGGATTAAACAACCAATGACGTACCTCATCAAATTTGTTCAGATTGTTGGAAAGAAGACTGACCAATTGTCCAGTACTTATTTTATCTAGAACTCTGCTTGACAGTTTTAAGATCTGTAAAAGAAAACAAAACCATAGAAAAATGGCCATGTAACTTGTCCCCATAAAACAGAATACAGATAAAAATGATAAGCAGTGGTACAGTAGTATAAATAACAATTCACTTATCTACTTATGCTGTAAAGAAAGTCTCATTAAACTTGTTATTTATGTCACTTAGATTTAATATAGCTATTAAATTCTTTTACAAACATTGATCTATCGACTTAGTCCTTGCTTTCTGTTGAATATTTTATGTATACAGGTATATATGCAAATGCAAGTTTTAATTAAGCATGCATGCTGTGTGCTGCTGTGCATCCTCAAAAATCTCCTACTGTGCCTATCTTGACAATTACCTTTGAAAGATGTTTTCACAGTAAGCTTTATACTAGAGTAACTAATATGTTTGTCTAAATTATCTGCTTTTGGTATTGATAAAACCAAATACCTTTTTAAATATTTGGATTTGTGACATGTGATCCATCAATATCTGTTGATTCTTCACGCTATAGAGATCTCACACAGTATCATTCAAACCCAATTCCTTCTATGTAATATTTACTGTTTAAATCTTCACCTCTAATCCTCTTTTGAAAATATTCGTTGGCCACCACAAAGTATGTTATTCCTCCTTTGCAATACACGTGCATAACAGGAGCACAGTGGTATAACAATTAAGGCATCTTACCACATATCCAGCAAGTCTGAACTCACACAGAGGCTGACTTCAGTCAAACCAGCTGTAGACAAGTATTTAATTCTTTGGACTTAGGAAATGGAGAGCTGTCAGAAACTGCTGTTAGCCACATTATTCTTTCGTGTACTTTGTGTACCTTGACTAGCAAACCCATCAATCTTTCTTTCAACAAACTGGCCTAAAAGTTACATAGGCTACAGTCAGAGGTTTGGCTTTGAGTGTAAATGAAACAATTACCTTCTTATAGATCAAGCTAAACATAGCTATCCTCATTTGCATTCCTATATGATGAAGACCAAATATAGCAGGGTGGATGAGTAGTGTTCTCACAAGGAAGAGAAGGCACAAGCCAATGCCCAGGTAGTATGCGATGGATCTTTCACTGGAGTTATCTGGATCATAGGAAGCTATTATTCGTCCCAGCAGAAGGGGTTGCACAGATTTGGTGACTTCCTGCAGATGGAAATGAGAAAGATGTTTTTTGTCAGTAGTTTGTTCACTTTTTCAAAATGGTTAACATTTTTATTTCAGCTGAGATTTACAGTTTAAATGTGGAAGCCAGGTCTGTTTGCTGTGCATACCATGAAAAGCTGCAGTAATTACACAGAAGAACAGACAACTCACTGCTCTTATCTGGGATGCTCCTGCAACTCCATCAGAGCAAATCTAGTTTGTAAATTTTGTTTGAACATTTCCTATGAAAGTGACAACTGAGATCAGCTTCCACATTTACTTTCTGGAGTTCTGATGGATTAGACACACAACTGAATCCAGTTTAGCAGGCTGGATCTCTGTTTTGGCCCTTAGGGAACAGTTCTCACTGCACTTTACCAGACTTATAGGACACACGAAGACCCAGAGCTCCTGAAATGAGCACCTGTAGAACACAATGAGGATGCAGCTAAACCAGAAAGTAAATAGAAATGGCAACAGACACACAAAAAAACCAAACAACAAAAAACAAACACAAAAAAAAAAACAACAACCAAAAAAAAACCACCAAACCAAACAATTTGTATCATCCTACTCAGTTCTAGACACTGTATATAGGATTGTAGCAAAAGCAGGATGAGAGGGTCTAAATGGTAGAGGAGGCAGCAAGTTCAATAGAAGTTGCAGAGGGAAACCACCCTTTCTGCATTATAAGCCTCAGCACTTCCCATCCTGAGATGAGCAACCTAGTAGAGAACCAGAGCAGGAGAGGAAAAAGAGGCAATATTAAACTGCTAAATGGCAAGGCATCCAAGTTATCTGCTATAGCCCTGACTTTACCTTAGCCCAATATTACATTTGTCCTCAGCCTCCTGCGCTGTTGCAATTAAACCCCATACAGAGATACAGAGAGAACTAGTGAAGTTCAGCTGTAATTAATACTTTACGGTGATAAATAGATGGGAAGACCCCCTTTAATTTGTTTCCTTCTCCTTTTGGTTCCTTTTAGTCTCTTATATAAGAGCAACAGTCTTTACTGTAACCCCTTTTGAACATCACTCTTAGTGGAACGGATAGTAACCAGTCACTTCTTTCACAGAAGAAATGAAATTTTACATCTCAAATAGCATACCTGTTCTGCTCACTACATTTTCCAAATTAAAACACCTCTCTGCCCCAACACAAATACTGTAAATCTGGAGCCAACTTTGTCAAAGACTTGGTGTTATTAGCAGGCAAAGGGAGGAGTGTTTATTAAAACACACATGACCCAAGGCAGCTGTGCTTAGACCATATGCATCCCGAAGAGGCAAACCAAAACTCCCCAAAACTCACAAAATACAAACAGTCACCTCTCAAGGACAATGAGGTGCTTTCATACTCTAAGAGATTCCAAGATAAGCTTTTATATATAGGCTTAAAATAGCAAGATTTCTTTTTTCTGTATTTACTCTTATTCCAGTGAAAATGCCATGCTCTGCTGCTGTGTTTGTTGTGACTATAAAGGTATTGCATACATGCCTAGCTCACTGGAAAAAAAAGTGATTTACAGACTAAGGGTAGAATAATAGCTGGCAATAAGCCAAATCATTTGCTATCTCATGGGGCATAAAAATCTACTGGTTTACAGTGGAGATTTATCATCTTACTTACCAAAGATATTATTATTTTGTCTATATACAAATGAAAGCAGAACTACCTGGGTTTTATTTTTCCTCTTGTAACCTCAAAATTAAGCACAGATATAAATATGGATAAATAAACTGATTAGAATGACCTGACGAAAAAAAGCAGTGAGATCTGGGTACCTATCATAACATCCAGTTTTCAAGAGTCATGTTTTATCTTCTTCTGTCCTTGCTCTTCCCTCTGCATTTGCCACAGGCCATTAAGAAACTCAGAAACATCCCTCTCACAGAAATCTTAATTAAAAGAGTAAAGATCCAAAGTGAAAGGAGAGTTTGACACAGGATATGGTGCTAATCTGACCTGGTATGGCTACTCTTACACAAGGAGAACTTTCACATTACGTGTATTCCTCCATATGCTCTATCACTCTGGATTTGAAGACAATAATGCGTATCTCTGGTTTGGCATGTGTCCAAGAAGTGCTTCAGGACTTTCATATCCCTCTCTGCCTCCTCACTTACACCCGTGACCTATATGGAAGAACTTCAGGAAATCCTCATTAGGGATATGACACTAAAACTACTTCTAAGTTAATGTTAGCAGCAGCTGTGCCTGAGTGGAAATACATATTTCACAGAGATGAATATAAGAGAAAAATATAGGTAGAATCAAACTGATCCTCACAGCAAAGCATCTGGTTTGGTAGCCAGTATCATGCTAAGAAGCAAGATCTTTGTTTTACCAGAATACCACCTTTGCTTTAAATTGCAAGACACGTCTGCTGATGAGATGAAGTGTGGAAGCTGTTTCAAACAGCAGGGGAGCAGATACATTAAATGCAGTAACTCAACGTGCTTAACACAACACGGTTTATGAGGGGGAGCTGTAGTACTCTAGGGGGCCAGAGCGCATGTGTCCACCCTGCAACAACATCATTACCTACAGCGCGTGAGGGGAAAGAGAGAAATGGAAAAACTACTAGACCTAATGAGAGCAAAGCTGTGATGCCAGTTGCAATGACAACTACACAGACAGCAGGAATGTCAGCAGAGTTTAAACCACACTTCAAGAAAGGTGCTGTGAAAACAGCTCAGGGATCAGACAAGAGAAGAGCTGAAAGGAAAGTGAAGTTCAAAAGCACACGCAACTTGATTGCACCTATGCCAATACGGCACAACATCCTGTCCCCATTCAAATCAATGGCAAAGCTCCCATTAATTTCCGTGAGCAGGGCCTGAAAAGAACACCAGCAGCTTAGGCAGTGATTTCTTCCTCTTACAGCTTTCAACAAAATGAAGATGAATAATAATTGAATCATCAAACAAATTTAAACTGAGACTTACTCTTTCCATATTCATTGTGAAAGGCGCAGGTTTTGTTTCCTATGTGCTGAATTGCACATGTCTGAGATTTCTTAAAGAAATGGGAAAAAAACACAAACAAACAAAGAATATGACTCAAAAATCCTGCAGTCCCTTTCTGTCCTCACCTGGTCTAAAATTGTGCTCCATTTAAAAAGTCCTCACAGAGAAATCAACCCAGCACAGTTCCACACGTGCATGCCCACACAGACTTCACTTGCCTGTAGTCTTGGAAATGAAGTTATCTTCAAAACTGCCTGCAAGAGCCCTCAGACACTGCTTAACTTTTAACAGGAGTGAATTACTGAGAAAGTTTTGGCTGGCAGACTCTACAGGAGCACCTGTTACAGTGTATAGTAGGCTAAATTTGTAGAACTGCTGGTAAGGGGAGGGGGTGTTAAATGCAAACCTGACATGAATAAGGAGTTGCTGGCTTGGTGAGGAAGAAGGCTAAAAAAATAAAGGCAGTAGTAAGATGGCAGGAGCACATAAGAGACAGAGTTGGGTAGGAGGTCACAATAAAAGGGTCTCATCCCAGAGAAGAGTCACCAACCAAGGTGAAAGAGTATAGAAAGAAGGATTATTACAGCCCCTTAGATAGCAAGAGGTCCTGTCCTGTATGGTTAACTGCCCTTCCTGCACAAAGACAAAAAGTGACTCATCAACTTCCATTCCAGCCACACTGCCTCCTGCCAGCCCTGCACAACAGCCAGAAGGCAACCCAGGGTTTGACGCAGAAAAGCCCTCCAAATGAGCACAGACATGACTGTAACCATCATCTCCTCCCCCTGCTCCATTCACAGCCCTTGTGTGTGGAGAAGGCGAGCATGTCATATCTCTTCGAAACAGATCTGCAGCAGTGGTGACTTTATACTGAGGTGAATGGCAGTGAGAGGAGATCTGAAGGTCTTCGCTAGTGACAAAAGTCCAGCAAGTTGGAGAGATAAACACCGGGAGAGAATAAACTTGGCTTGGGAGCTAATTTCTTAATTCCTCTATTTTTAATCAGAATCTGTGTGCACACACATGACTGTAGCTATCCATGAGAATGAAGCAAAAAGATAAAATGTAAAGAACTTTTTCACTCTTAAGTTTTATTTCCAAAATCAAACCTTGCTGCTGAGAAATTGCGGAATTGCTCTTTATGAGCCACATCTGGGGGACAGTCTAAACGTGATCGCAAAAGATTAAGGCCTACAAGGATCTTTTCATTCTAAATCCATAAAGCAGCATGACATGCTGAGGTACATCCTAATTTTTTTAAAGACTAAAAAGAATGTGAATGCTGCACTTTAAAGGGAAGCAATTTCCATTTTTTTTTAAATAACTTTTTCCTTTTTCTTTAGACCATTTTACTTTGTGACTTTCTGATTTTATTACTGAAACTCATTTTCCCTGGACATGGTGTTAGAAGAGAAAGCAGCAGTCGGTTTTTCATAATACTTAGGGGAAAGTCCAATCTGAAGTGAAAAGATATTTCGTTATTAACTAAGCAAATCAAATCAACAGTGATCCAAACCGGAAGATTTGCATCACTAGCAGTCCTAATTAATACACTTGCAAATATTTTACAGGACTTTCATCCCAGGACCCTAAATAAACTTATTCTGTAACGTGCAAGATCAGCCTCTCTTTCACACAGCCATGTAAACAGGAGGAACTCCATGGAAGTTTATTGGGGTGGAACCATTCCAGCACAAAACTGACGTCATTCTCCAAATTCGACGCTTAACCCAAAAAAATGCTCTTTCACCTGAAACATTGCCTGATGCACTAAAAATTTTCACCCTTAAAAAGTTTCCTTTGAATGCTGAAAAGTCTGCGTCAAGGACTTGCATTTTAGTTCTCAGGATATTCTTATTTAGGTTTGAAGTGTTGTATACAAAATTATTAACACTTGAGGATACAGGTGCTGGTGTGCTTTCACTTAGCATATATATGTCATGGCTGCCATAGAGCAGATTACGATCCTTCTTCATCTGCCTACTAGATCTATCCAGCTTGACATTCCTCTTCTACAGAGGAGTCACTAACAAGTTTATGGGTGTGATAAGAACTCTCAACACTATTCTCCCTTTCCTACCTGGGAGGGGGGAGTCATTCTAATGGGGATGAAGGTTTGGCTTTTTATAATGCTCCTATTCTCTTACACTAGTTCCTTGGGTACTCAATAAAAAGCCAGCAGAAAAGAGAAGTCTGGTTTTATAGCAAGCAATATGAACTTCATAGACATCTGTGGGCTATTTGCCATAAATTCCCCTTATGCTCTGCCCAATACATGGTCTTGAAAGTACAGCTACATTCACATTTAACACTAATGCCAGTGGAATTAGCTCCTTTCTGCAACAACCTTCTGAAATTAAAAATCTGGCCTAGAGATCTGTCTCACACTGAAAACACTGAGTGCATCAGATCACTTCAGGCCATTTTAAGGAAACTGCTTCCCTTAAAATGCAGCATTCACATTCTTTTTAGTCTATAAAAATTTTAGGATATATCTCAGTATGTCAGGCTGCTTCACGGATTCAAAATAAAAAGACTGCAGCATTTTGAACAAAGAAGTGCGGAGGGTAATCTTCCACTTTTAATACTAAATTGCAGAAACTTGAAAATAACACCGATACTTAGTGTGCGTATTATCAAACAGCAATTTTCAGATTTACAGGCTGGCTATCCAACACACCTAATGAGACACCATTAATAATAAACTATTTTCACAGCTCCTAACCCTAGAGCTAGGATTGTCAAATTGGTGGCATTTTTAAGTCAGGGTAATCCTAACTAATATGTTGGAAAGGTGATTATACAATCAGCTCAGACTTTCACATGAAGTTCCTGATCATAAACATTGCATCACTAACAGCAGCAAGATCACATATTTCACATGGTTATTTATGCAGAATTGTTACCACTGAGGAAGACTTGTTTATTGCATACATCTGAATAAATCATTTAGCTATGAAGTTGCTGATAGTCACTTTGATAAAATTGACCTAATTGTGTGAAACTGCACTGTAATTTTTTTAATGTAAGTGTTGAAAAAGATTTAGAAACTTCTTAACCCATAACAGAAGAAAATAATTACTTTAGTTCAGCAGTGATACAAAAATTCAAGTGCTCTTACCTGTACTTGGAGAGGCATATGCCAGCACCTGGCACTACATACATTTCAGAATCATTAATATGTATGTTTTAAAGATGATAAGACATTAGCAGAACATACTTGTTTTTTAATGAAGGTCCCTGAATATCTCTGTATTTATTATCTTTATAACCAATACCTAGAGCAAAATTTGTAGCTATTCACAGGATTCTGTAATTAATTCAGCAGTCCCTAAGACTTGGATCTATTTATGGAACACTAAAAGTTTACTAAAGAGAAGATCAAATCTTACCCCTAAATATAACATAATTCCATAGAACATAAATTTCCAGAAAAAGCATCGTCGAAGAGCATTAATAAGTTTGGGTTTTTTCTTTGAAGTTGCTAGTTCTCTGTCCCACTCTCTGAAAAGGAACCAGAAAATAAGACCATTAAGTTGCATGAGCAAATACATGGGTCTATGGCTCTGACATACTTCAATTCACTCAAGTATATCCAAGGAGATTTAGCTAAGGTGACTAATGAAAGAAAGCTTTGCAGAGACCCCAAAGACCTGGCCTTCATTGACTTGGTAGATCAATAGAAGTTCAAACCTAGTTCAGTCACATATTTGGCAGTTTTAAATACTCAGCCATACATCACCCTGCAGGGAATTAATTCATGAAAAGGCCACATTGTATGTTTTAAAGAAACCTGCTGTACTTAAGACCAAAGCACAAATAATAGGCAAATAAACGTTTTGGAGCTCTTCCAGTCTGTAAAAAAGAAACCACCAACAAAGCATCAAATATGTGACTCTTCTACTGCACAGCATTATTTTTAATCTGTGTTGCTGTGACCACCATTTTCTATTCAATAATAAATTGCTGACCAGAAGCAGTGTTTCATACAGCTCTCTTCTTCATTTTTCAACAGAATGCTAAACCATCAGAATGTTCAATTTATAAACTATCAAAATACATTAAGCATACTGTCCTGGGCTCAGCAGTAGCAGTCCTCCTTCTTAGTAGCTGGTGCAGTGCTGTGGTTTTGACTTTCGGCCTGGGAACAGCGCTCATAATACCAATGGTTTTAGTTACTGCTCAGTAATGTTTACTCTGACCAAGGACTTTGTGAGTCTCATGCTCTGCCAGGGAGGAGGGGAAGCCAGGAGGAAGCAGAGACAGGACACCTGACCCAAACTGACCAAAGGGGTATTCCATACCACAGCATGTCTGCCCAGTGTATAAACTGGGGGCAGTTACCCGGAAGGGCAAGATCACTGCTCAGGTCAGGCTGGGTATCGGTCGGCGGGTGATGAGTGGTTGTATTCTCTTCCCTTGTTATTTCCCTTATCATTATTATTATTGGTGGTAGCAGTAGTGGTTTGTGTTATACCTTAGTTACTGGACTGTTCTTATCTCAACCCATGGGAGTTACATTCTTTTGATTCTCCTCCCCATCTCTCTAGGAGCAGAAGGAAGAAGTGGGGGCAGGGTGGGGAGTGGGGGGCTTGGCACAGCAGGGCAGACATAAGCTGACCCAGAACACCAGGGAAAGCAACACCAGTGGCTAGGGAGAGGGACTGGATTCAGCCACCTGTGTCTGGAAGAGACAGGTACCAGTATATAGCAATTTAGAGAATCCAGGTGTTACATCTACACCAGTGATCCCAACCAGCTCCAAATGACAACTGTGTGCTGAATGAGAACATATTTAAGCTGCTCAGTGCATGTACCCAATGCTATTTAAACCTTTTTTCCAACATCTTTTTAATGAAAATTGCAGTGATTCCTGAAACAAAGTTATTTCACTAAAGCTGTCATACCTTTCTAGTTTTTCAGAAAGATTATCAGCAGAGTCCGCAGACGGGATTTGGTAAATATCTGACAGCTCTAACCGTCGTCTGTAACCCTTTTTCAAAATTGGTTTTGTCCATCTAAGGGGGAAAAGAAAAAAAAATCACCATTTTTTGAGGTTAATTCTGGAGTTTCATTGTCTCAGCCTGAATATTTTGTCCACAGCACCCAAGTATGTCTATGTGCACACACACACATACACACAGAATATGGCATAATACACTGCAGCTCTGCATTACATTTACAAAACTATATTGACAAACATAACATTAAAGCAGTAATTGCAAAACTGTTGCATTTCATCAGTTTTGGAGCAGGATCATGCCCCAGACTTTCTGTTCAGTCAGCAGCAGGCAAACGAACAGGGGATTGCAACCTTTGTACTGTATTTATGAATAGGTGCTATGTCCATATAAATGAATAATATACAAGAACTATAGTAAATTGCATGTAGAAGTTTCATTCCTGTAAGATAGAAAATCTCAATATAGCTTGACTGTTCCTTTGACAGCTTACATTGCAGTATACGCTTAACACCACACCAGGACTTTCACGGGACTCCTCGCAAAATCTTCATTTCATCCATCATATTCACATTTCACATTTCTTTTTTCAAATTTCGTGTTTAAAAAATTAATGCAAATTTAAAGAGCATGCTGAACTAAACCAGAGCAGGAAAAAACCTCTAGAATGGCTACTCTGTAGAAAAAATATTTATAAGCTATTACTAATTTTCATTGAATCATAGAACAATTTGGGTTGGAAGAGACCTTAAAGATCATCTAATTCCACCTGCAGTGCCACAGGCAGGGACAATTTCCCATTGTGTTGGGGGCCCCAGAGCTAAAAGCAGTACTCCAGGTGGGGTCTCTCGAGAGCAGAGTAGAGGGGCAGGATCACCTCCTTTGACCTGCTGGTCACACTCTTTTTGATGCAGCCCAGCACACAGTTGGCTTTCTGGGCTAGAAGCACACACTGCTGGGTCACGTTGAGCTTCTCGGCAACCAACACCCCCAAATCTTCCTCCTCAATTTTATCAAACAATTCAGCTCCTGAAAGCCCTATGAATCCCCAGCTGCCAACTTGTACGAAGTTTTGCAGCAGCTTCTGTTTGAAAATCATTTTGAAAGCACAGGACTAAAACAAAACACAAACAAGCAACTAAAGAACTAACGGAATATTTTAAAACTATTGGAGTTTCTGTTTTACTGCCATTGTCAAAAATATTTCCTTAAAAGAATGAAAAATCTGCAAATGAAGTAGCTTGTGGTTGATTGCTGTCATACTTCCATATGTAAACAGTTTGTAAAAGAACCCAAACACATTATTTACGTTTATGATAAAAGTTATGATCTGCAAAACCTCAATCGTTTCAGAATTTATTGTTTTAAAGTGTCAACATAGACAAAAGTTAACAAAACTGAAAAAGAAGTGCAATAATGTTTCACATGGTCACTAAAAAATACAAACATCTAATTAGAGATGCTTACCCATACACCGATAAGAACATGTATCGCACACAAAGTAATCCATATTCTCAGTTGCTCAACTGCCTCTGAAATTAGACACTACATGAGTGCAAAAAGACCTTAGCACAATAGTCAAAGCCTGTGTGCAACTGTGCACACATACACACACACGCTAACACTTACTTTAATGAAGTTATGAATCATACGAGACATCAGTCTATAACCCCTGTAATTCAGTAAAGCACAAGGATATTTCCCAAGTGAGCAGTTACATCACACCCACTGCAAACAGATCATGTTCTTCGAAATTAGAACATTATCCTTCATTTCTGCAATCATACTACGGCTTCAGACGAACCATATGGGCTTTAGCACAGTCTTTGACACTCCAGTGGCTGAGAAGTAATACATGCTTCGCAGTATGCTACAACAAGGCAAACAACAAGCCAAGAGAGTCTACTTTGGAGAGTCATTGGCAAAGTATCCATAAACTTTACTTCCAGGAAGGGCCAATGTTTTCAGGTCTGTAACAAGATGGATTAGGAGAAAACTGTTTAATTTAAGATAATACTGTTAGGTGAAAGTTTTTCATGGCCACTGCAAATGATAAAACACTGATTTCTATTTTCCCAGCTCCTGATGGCAGAAAGGACCAATTGCTATTGGCTTTGTGCACATCTTGGGGAGAAATAGCTAATCCTTGTCTTTCGAGAACAGAAACTTTCATGGACTGACTTCAACAAAAGTTCTGTAAACAGATATTCTGGCAATGATAAAATGAATACAAGTTATGAGACACTAAACAACTACTGCAGCAAATGCAAATAAGTAACAGGACTTCCTAAGCAACCTCTTTAATCCCCAATACCATAGCTAAGTAATAACCTTGCTGAGCCCCTTAATAATGCTTTGAGACTGCAACAAGTAATCCCCAGCTTGTCTTGACAAAAGAGAAATGCTTTACAGTTTCAGACTTCGTATGTTTTTGGAAAACATGTTTCCACTACACATTTGATTTTATTTATACTTCTGATTAGCACTTACCCTGGCATTTTGCCACTGTTAGAAGTAACAAAACATGACTGCATTTAGAAAGTAAGCAGAGTAGCTCTTTTATTATTTGGGAAAGGCATCATTCTTAGCAGATCTACTGTACTCGTAGAAATGTCTCTTGTTCTACTTGGTGCTTAACCAGGTGCACTCCTTAGTGCCACCTAAATTACGTGGTCCCTAAGCTATTGTCCCCTCCCAAGTCAACAAATTTGACACAAAGCTAGTGCAGCCCTTGTCCTCATCTCTCTGCTCAGCAAGTAGCTGCAACTATGGTAGATGACTCCTCCAGCCATCTCAGGAGTGGTGCTGACACCTTCCCCCAGGGTCCTTCTGTTCTGCAGTCAGGTTCCTACCACAGGATGCTGGCAGGGCTTGCACAAAGATGTTCACCTCCCAGCTGCCCTGGCCTTGCTCAGAAGTCGCACCCTAACTAGATCTGGCCAATTTGTGAGCTGTGCCAAGTGGCTTTGGGTTGGAGTGGTAATGGTGGGAGGAGCTGGCCTGTCACATGCTGCTTGTCTCAAGGGACATTTTCAACACCTGCTTGGGTTGTGTTGTCAAGAACTGCGGTAAACAGTATGTATTTTATTAAAAGGAATGTATTAGACCTAGAATACATAAATATCTCCTAAAATGAACCTTTTGCCAGATTCCAATAGCATCCAGTTTAGCATTATGCTCGGGATTCTTTGCAAAGTTTTGAAGTGCAAAATGGTTATACATTAAACTGTCAAGATCATCTGTAGTTATGGATGTTTCCTTATCACCAGGTAACACAGCTCAGTCAGAGTTTGTCAGTGAATATGGCTCTTCTCTTTTTTGGCTTAATAGAAACAATTTGTCAGCATTAATTCTGATTTTTTTCTTCTTGTGGTCACTGAAAATGAGAAATTTATTTTGAAAGAAAGAGAGCAAGAAGGAAAGGAAACAGATTGGCTTTACAGCATTACGTTAGCAAATGCCACCGGATTACTGGCTGGCATTTAATGAACTCTTTCACAGAGAAATCTGTAGTGCTGTCAGTTTTGCCACTAACTAGGAATGTTATTATGGGTACACACACATGAAACCCAGCAGGAGACAAGTTTCAAGGGTATACAGTAGGAAAGAAAAGAAGGAAAACAAGTTGCACCTCTATTATTGATTGTCTCTAGCAAAAAATACCTTATGAGCTTAGTGGGTAACTTTCATTTCCATAACATACGGTTTTAACTTCTCTTTTGGCAGATTTCTAATGACCATTTCTTTGTCATTCACTTTAGCAGTATGTAATAGATTTCTTACTACAGATATCTTTTTCTCCAGCACATTCAATCTCATTTCACTCAAACAAATTGTACCGCTATGACAGATGTCTTTGCCTTTCCAGGGAGTATTAACACAAACTGTCAGCTTGTCAATGGGATTTGACTCTCCCTTAAGGCTACTTTGCATGCCACTGAAGAGAGAAAGAGCCTCTGTGCTGCTAAGCCAACTGCGCAGATCTTCCTCCTGGGCACAGGGATTCCCCAGCTCAAATAGGCCTGTCAGGTCAAGAAGCATGAGGTGTTGGGACCATGACAGAGCAGCAAGGCTGGACTATCCAAGACCTGCAAAGCAGAGCAGCTCTCCCACAAGGGTCCCTGATCAGGCTGGTCCCATTTCAGCATGTGTCCTGTGCACAACATAGCAATATATACTGAGAGGTGTGAAGGTGACTATTGACTTCAAGTCCTTCTCTTACAAAGCATTGATACCTGTGCTCAATATAGTTAGGCATAGTGCCTGCAGCAACTAAGGAACTGGATCTAAATCTTGAAGGAGACAGAGCAAGAAAGATGCCTCTGGCTTTATCTTATCACTTCTTTTAACAGTTTGGGGGAACATAATCAACCCATGATTTGCCTGTTTTACAAGGTGTTGTAGAGCCACAAAAGCCTACTGACTGCAGGCAAAGACTGAGGTACTAAGTAGACACTCAAAGGGTCAAACCAGCTTCTGTCAGAGGCTCTGCATTCTCATGCTCTCCCAAAAGATACCCATCACTCTGCTGGCAGAACAAATTGTAAATTGTTGCTTACTTTGTACTGGAAGTGGCAGCTCTACTACACTCAGAAATGTACCTCCAGGAGACTCTCTGCACTACCAGCCCTCTGAGCATCCTGCAATGCAGCTGTAACGGGTGACACTAACTCTGCATGATCCTTGCTAATAGACGGGACAAGCCATCGCACCCACAGAGCACAACGGCCAGGCACTACAGCCTAATTCCTGCACCTTGGTTACCCTTGAGTAGTATTGGAGGTACTGTGTTTCGAATTGTAACCTGCTGAAATAGCATGTCCTATATTCTGAAAATTATATCAAACCCTTAGTATTTTCCCCTTTAAAAGCAAATGCAACACTCTGAGCTTATATTTTACACATACTTATTACAGGGCTTCAACAATGGAAGGTAAATGCAGACCCTACTAATGTCTGCTTGTTTGTTGCTTTTTCTCAGATCACAAAAATTAAAATGTAAATTTCTTCACTAATAATTCTTCCACATGAGCTGTTATTTAACATGGAAAATATTT